AATCCAGCACATGATTCGTTTCGTACCTGATACATGCCTTTATAGTCCTCCTGTTACGCATGACATTTGACGTATTCAAAACACGCAACTCCTCATGTTGGATTCCGTAGATATCTTAGGTCTTAGGATCCAATCATGGAACCGCCATATGAGATTCAAGTCATGACGTTAGTCCATGTGACAATCTCATGCGGGTCAATCCAGTATTCCGTTCTCCAACGAATACCTATGACTGTGATCGTATCAAATACCTATGATCATCTATATGATCATCAATCACACATCATACTAGTCTTAGTGTATCATTATTCACACAATGATACATGACTAGGGAGTTTAGTATTGTTCATAACAATACATGGATTTCACAATATATCTAATATGCATAACATGTAATGAATCAAACACTTTCATAAAACTATAGAAAGTATCAATACATCAACTGTATCCAAAGAAAGCTCGCAAACAGTACATCATCGAGCACTAAACCAACAATCTTCCATTTGCTTTAATCATGGACTGCTAAACATCTAATGTCCATATCCCTAATATGACCCTCATGCTTCGACGAAGGGAGAGGCTTCGTCAACGGATCGACAATGTTGTCATCTGTCGACACTCTGCAAATGTGCACGTCTCCTCTGTTTATGATCTCCCTGATAAGGTGAAATTGTCTGAGTATGTGTTTGGATCGTTGATGGGATCTGGGTTCTTTTGCTTGTGCGATCGCTCCATTGTTGTCACAATACACAGCAATGGGGCTATCAGCACTAGGAATGACACCCAAGTCGCCAACAAACTTCCTGATCCAAACAGCTTTCTTTGCTGTGTTTGACGCTGCAACATACTCAGCTTCTGTATTAGAATCTGCAACGGTCGCCTGCTTGGAACTCTTCCATCTAACAGCGTCTCCGTTCAAACAGAAAATATAGCCATACTGCGATCTGTAGTCATCCGGGTCTGACTGGAAACTAGCATCGGTGTAACCCTTTACATCGAGCTCGTCTTCCGACCCACCTTATACCAAGAATACATCCTTAGTCCTTCTCAAGTACTTTAGGATGTTCTTGACGGAGATCCAGTGTGACTCGTCTGGATCTGACTGGTATCTACTCGTAATGCTCAACGCATAGGATACATCTGGTCGAGTACAAAGCATGGCATACATGATGGATCCAATTGCCGAAGCATATGGAATCCGATCCATGCGTTCTCGCTTATCAGGTGTCGTAGGACACTGACTTTTGCAGAGAACTGTGCCACTGCTCATCGGTAAGGTTCCTTTCTTGGAATCTTGCATCTTGAACCGTTTCAAGACCTTATCGATGTAAGTACTCTGACTCAATCCTAGAAGTCGCCTCGATCTATCTCTATAGATCTTTATGATGCATTCCTAGGATCCATTGGTATGGTTATGGACAAGGAACGTAACGGGAGCATATGTGAAGCACAACTAGATGGAGAACAATCGGACAAAGAGTCGAACAATGGAGCTCAAATGGATGGAGCACAGTTGGAAGGAGCACAACTAGGCGAGGACACACAGCCAAACCAAAAGATGGACAACATGCTCGACGAACCAAAGATTGAAGCAAACCGAGTGCCACTTCACACAATTCGAGTGCCACTTCACTCCCAGCGAACACTCATTCCTTCTCAGCTCAAGTGCCTTCACATGTTGGACCAAAAGTCTAAGGAAAGTCGAGTATCCCTTTGGGCTGAGGCAACGCTCACTCATGCCCAGTCCGAGAGCCATCACGTGATGCATGAGCTACGTTACGAAATCACGAGCTTAATATGTCTTGGATTGATCAAAGGCATTCAACATCTCTACTTTGATAACCTAGCTTACTTCCTTCTCAAGATAACTATCCAAGGGAAGTTCCTTCATCAACAAGGAAATTTCAACAGCTAGTTTCTTCCCAACTACCTCATTAAGAGCAACTCCAACAGCTAGTTTTTTCTCAACTACCCCATTAAATGCATAGGCTCCCACCCCCTTTGCATGTGTTTTCTTATTTAATTTATGGTTGAATCTCTAGCCTATATAAAGGCCATTGTATTGTCATGTAAGAGCAGACTATTGCTGAATCTATCAAGCATTTTCGAGTTTAACAACTCTTTCTTTCGGTGTGTCCGAAACCTGGTGTGTCCGAATCCTATCTTCTCTTGGTGTGTCCGAGAGTTACCCCTTGGTTTGTCCGAGGTACCCTTGGTATGTCCGAGGTTTCTATCCATCTACTTATCCATTTTGTTCCATACTTCGTCGGACTTGAGTTCGAGAGCCTCGCTAGAGTGCTGGTGATTGAGTTCCGACCCCATTTCCCCTTCGCTTCCATTTTCTGTCGTGGCTGGACTTGAGTGCCCCTTTGGGATCTGCGAGTTAGCCCTGACTCCACCTTCACTTCCATTTGTCGTCCCAAGCTGAGTTCGAGTGCTCCTTGAAGCGGGTGATTGGCTTGCGACTCCATCCCTGATCCGAGACAAACACTTCCGAGGCCGAGGCGTGTATCACTTTATGCCTAAAATATAGGCTGCTTCTCCTAGGTCCTTCATAGAAAACTGCGTTCCTAGCGAAGACTTAACGTCTTGCAAGGTAGGAACGTCATTCCCTATAAGGAGAATGTCATCCACGTACAGCACTAGAAAAACTACTATGCTCTCACTGACCTTCTTATAAACACATGGCTCGTCTTCGTTCTGTGAGAAACCAAACTTTTTGATTGTCTCATCAAAGCGAAGGTTCCAGCTCCTTGAAGCCTTCTTCAGTCCATAAATGGACCTCTGAAGCTTGCACACCTTCCCCGGGTTCCTTGGATCGACAAAACCTTCAGGTTGTGTCATGTACACATCTTCCTCGGTCAAGTTCCCGTTAAGGAACGCGATCTTGACATCCATTTGCCATATCTCATAGTCGTAATATACGGCTATGGCAAGTAGGATCCTGATGGACTTCAGCATAACTACGGGCGAAAAGGTCTCATCATAGTTAATACCATGAATTTGACGGAATCCTTTCGCCACAAGTCGTGCCTTATACGTGTGCACGTTGCCATCCATGTCGGTCTTCTTCTTGAAGATCCACTTGCATCCGATGGGTTTTATCCCTTCAGATGCATCAACCAGAGTCCATACTTGGTTGTCTGACATGGATTGCATCTCGGACTTCATAGCCTCGCGCCATTTCTCGGAATTCGGACTCGCCATAGCCTCTGGGTATGTGGTAGGCTCGTCATGTTCTAATAACATGAGTTCCTCATTCCCAGTCACGAGAAATCCATATCTCGTTGGCTCTTGGCGAATCCTGCCTGATCTCCGAGGTTCACT